GAGAGGCATTTTTGTAATCAACCTGTGCATAACAAGCGAGGTAAGAACTCTGTGAAGGTTGAGAACGACCTTGGTATGATAAGGATTTCCTTGGGATCTTCTTCCCCTCATAAGAGATAGAACACGCATCTTCTTTTTTCTTCTTCAATAATCTAGAGGATCCAAGCGAGGCAACAACACGGGCAATCTTCCCTGTTCTTAGTCTATCTTCGATAGTCTCACCTACTTTGACTATCTCAACAAACTTTCCTCCAATAAGCAACAGAATTCTATCATAATATTAGGGCTCTTGAACCCGCACAAATACTTCAACAATTTCCTTTTCACACATATGAGGCCGAACTCTAGCTGTCTCCTTTCTCCATCTGTATGCAAATTCTCTGTAACTTTCGTTGGATTTCTGCTTCATTTTTTCAAAGAATAACGATCAGGAACGATCTCTACATTGTAGGTGAACCGTTCGATAAAGTCCTTAGCCAGAGCATTCCAGCTAGGCCATTGTCTCGTTTCATGCGATGTAAACTATTCCAGAGCCTCTCCACTCAGACTTCGGCTAAAAATCCGCATCAGTAAAGCTTCATCACTTCCAACTCCCACGAGCTGGTCACAGTAGGCCCTCAGGTGCGCTAAGGGGTTCCCTATTCCTTCGAAAATGTCAAACTTTGGCAATTTGAACCCTTCCGGGAGGTCCAAATTCGGATGAATGCATAAATCCTCATAACTCAAACCGGCGACTTCAAGAGTACACTGCAACTCTTTCATGGCGTTTCAGATCTCTTCCTTCATATCCAGCTTAACTGCCTCTTCCTTTGACCTCCACTCTCTCTCTCGCTCATCATAGTGGTCGAGCTCAGAACCATTGGCGTCATGCTCATTGGGGATCGAGATTTGTAAAGTGGCTTTCTGAGGTAGGGGTGGAACAATGGAGGGACTTTGGGCATTTTGAGTGGCTTGGTAGTTTTGAGGGAAAGTCTGGGGGTTGGTATGTTGATTTTGGTGATGGAGGGAAGTGTACGGGTTGTTAACATTTTGGTTTTGAGGGGGTGGACCAGTTTGGAGGTTGGCATTTTGGATAGGAAGTGACACTTGGAGGTTGGTGTTGTGAGGAGGGGGTGGTGTCTGATAAGAGGCAGAGGCATAATGGGGATTTTGGGTGGTTAGGTCGATGATTGAGGGATTCTGAGCAGGACTAGAGGGTGGATTTTGGGCCTGTTCTGTGTTCGAAGAAGGAAAGTGAAGTGGAGGCCTTCCATCTGCTGGAGCATTGAAAGAAAAAATCGGATTAGGTAAATCTTGCCTTCTCTGCATCTTGACCTGCATCTCAGCGATCTGTTGCATCAATTGCACGGTTAACTTGTTTTGATCGGCGATGACGGGCTGAGTCACAACAACATCTGTTAAGCCGGTACCCTCAACATTATCGCCCATTGTTAACTTGCCCTTTCGAGAACTTTGACCGGGGAAGGAATCTGTAAGGACTTTTGATCTTGTAAAATAAGGGTGTTCAGCGAGCTTATCGACACAGATCAGTTCTAACTACCTGTAAAGGAAAACAACTCAAAGGCAAATCTGTTAGTTTGGTTCAAGACAAACAATGCAAAATATCACATAGAGGGTATATAAACACATAAGAGTTGCTTCGTTTGAGAACATGTTAACCCACGAGTAATGGGGACTAATTTTTTGAACAAGCAGGAATTTGCTCGTTTTATTTTGAGGCTAGTGACTCAGAAATGTTAAATTGCATTAAGCTAAGGTCTTCTTTCTGCATCTTTCGGCATTTGTTGATGTGAATTCAATGTTTCCTTGTAGAATGAAAGGGGGGAAAAGAAAATTTTAAAAGATAAGTGTCGGGCCTTGAAAGGCTGCCTACGTATCTCTTAAGGAGAATTCAGGCCCTACGTAGTTCAAATACAAAAGGAAATTCTCATTTTCATTCATTCATTTGATTGATTACAAGGTAAGTGAAAGGAAAACATGCAATAAAGCTCATAAAAGATAAGTGGTGCCTTCATTAAAGCTTCTTCTTCTGACTGCAGCATTAATCACGGGGGGTAAACTCATATGCTTTGGGGATGATTTTCTCATTCCCTTCTTTCCACCGTCCCTGAAGAGGACGCCTATAGACAATTTCATCCTCAGTATTTTCTTCAGTAGCTCCTAGGTGAGTGTCTTCGGGACCATTATTGGCCCCTTGGTTAAAGAAAGAGCATTTTCCGCGTATTTTCTGAAGTCTCATGGTTATGTTATTGTTAAAAACATCATGTTCCTTCCGCATAGCAACCGTCTCCTCATTCATGATAGCATATCTTGCCATCTTAGCCGCAAATTCCTCGTCTAGTGCTGCATTTGCAGCTTGTGCGACCGCGGTGGCGATCTCCACTTCTATTCTCCTTTCTTTGGTTTCTTGGACCTCCTGTCTGAGCCGCTGCAATTCCATCCTCAAATCCTCCTCAGTTAACTCTATGTCCATACTCTTACCTTTTTCCATCTTAGCTGCGATTTTACCTTTCTTGAGATGACAGAGTAATGTTTTAGGATTTGGTAGTGAGATTTTATTTTTGGCTGAGAAACTCAAGACTCATGGAATTTTGGTCGGACTTTTGGTAGTGACTTGTATTTGATATTGTAGAGATTTTTTCAGAAAATTTTGAAAAAGAGTGGGCTAAAATATCCTCATTCAAAACAACAAAATCACATAAACATTTAAAGCACACAAGCAGCTATCATACGTCCTAAACACGTAGGGGGCCCTTTTGTGCCAAGGGTAGGCCTAACGTATTTGAAAGATGTATGTGTAGAATTGAACCATTTTGTTACCTTAAAGCAAATTTTGTATATAAAATGATGTTCGAAAAAGCGAAAATAAGTAGGGGGAAGTAGGGAATAAACGGGAAACACAAAAACAAAAGACCCACGCAGGGGTCATTTGAAAAGAGTACCAAAATACAAGAAAGGCAAGCCCACGTAGGGGCAAACAACAATAAATACACATAGAAAAACCCACGCAGGGGCGAAATCCACTAAGATGTTCCCGATGTCCCCGCCTCTGATCTGCTCCTCTTGTTTTGTGCCATGAGATGCTGAAGCCGATATTGAATCATTAGCAAGTATCCTTCGTTCCGGCGGACTTTCTCTTCCCAGTCTTCGAGACACATTCCGCTTTTCTTATCTCCAATCCATAAGTTGAGCTCTCCCAAATCGCTTCTCAAGCCTTCTAATTCTTGAGAAATTCCTCGTGCATTTCCTGGGTTTACCTCTCTTAGTTCTATCAAAGCTTTGGACTCTTTGTCCTCCACACTGTGGTAAATGTTCGGAACTGAGAAAGAGATACCTTGTATATTTCCCTTCAACCAAGCTTTGTAGGTTTCATCGTACCCAACATTAAATCAATCTGCGGCAATGGTGTCCTTGTTCATTCGTACAACTTTTTTTCATTCTCTTAGAATCTCTGAAGCCTTATGCACTCTATCATCGCCGATGTCGAACACATAGATACGGTAGTATGCGTTTGGAGGTGTAGTCTGTCTTCTTCCAAACTGCCTTAGGACCCGGATGGGTGCATATATGGGGATACCTCGAATACCTGGTAGAGGAAGCACAAGTTGTATGTCGCCCTGCACTATGACATCTTTCGAGATGAAACGGTCGAACATCCACTGAATATCTTTTTCTCTCAACTCGAAGAAAATTTGAGCCCATCTTTATCTGGTTCTCTTTTATTCTAAGTTTGCCCAAAACAACATGTCATTCAAACTCCTAAGAGCATTATGCCTATCGAGGGTATGGAGTTCCTGAGTTCCGTGTCTCTTCATCAAGTGACTTATTATCCACCATTGGAGGAAGAGATTACAGCCCTGAAAGTAACGATGTCCTTTCTTACACCTACCTAGAGCACGGTACATGTCGGAAATGATGATAGGCGCGATAGGGTAGTACTTCACTTGCCTTTGGTTTAGATGCCCGTGGAACAGAGTGTGCACAAGCATTATCACCCGGGTGTTGATACTGAGGCTCGATCCGTGTGGGAAAACCATGGTGCCTAATAGTGCGATGCTAAATGCCAAAGGTCTGATCTCGTCCCATTATCTGAAAATGACCCTGAACTCTTGGTTGTAATTCACATAGAAGCTCGCATGTCCGAATCTGACATAGAGATCCATAAAAGAAACTCTAGAACCTTCGGCCCAGTAGGCATCCGAGCCAGTTCACAATATCCTCGAGGGTAGGATTGTTAGGGATTATGATATTTTCCTGTTTTCTTAGTCTTCCTTCAAGCCTTGTACCGACTGTGTTTATTCCATCCCGAATTTCCTCAATTATCGGGGTGATTTCCATGGTTCCAAATCAGAATACCAATTTCTCGTTGTCCCAATAACCTATGAGGACTTCAATCAGCTCGGGCCACCCGACCATATTGATGAGTTCTGTTAGGGCCCCTATATATTTGTTGAGGGCCCTTTTGTGAACCGTAGTGAGATCGTTTTACCACAACTTGAGCAAAACTGGGGCTTCCACTACGATGTCGTATTTAGGAAATCGATCCATACCTACAAAATAAAGCACGGTTAAGATTCCCTCGCCCAAATAGGCAACAATTAGGTTTTCACACATACATTTTTCAAATGTCAAATAATATGATATGTTGTTAGGTCGTGCAGTGGCGGACCCAGAATTTTTGTTCAGGGAGTTCGAAAAATAAAAGTATAAACGTGTAAATAAGCCAACAAAATAAAATTTCAAGGAAGTAGTAGTATATTGTTTATAGGTACAAAAAATTAGTTTCGTTACAAGAAATCTGAAACTAACATGACTGATTACAGTGAAACAAAAAATTAGCCCTATACAATATGTCAATCTAGAACTAGGATGCAAAGTAGAGCAAAAAATGGAGCTAACTAGAACAAAAAAAATTAGCACTTCGTAATGTCTCACTCTAGGACTAGAGTGCTAACTACAAACTCCAAAAAGAGGTCAGTGCTAATACTTCTCAAGCACGTTTATAATACTATTCGACGAGGTTTCATTGCTTGAAAAGACAAAATAATATCATTCGTTGAAACATCCTTAAACACATCCTTCTCCATAAAAGGAACCATGCAACCGCTCAAGAAGTCATCATTCATTCGACTTCGCAACTCATTCTTGATAAATTTCATTCCCGAAAAAGCTCTTTCAATGAATGCAGTGGCAACTGGCAGAAGTAAAGCGAATTTCGCCAAACGAAAAACAAGAGGATAACATGAATGTTTTTTTGTCTGAACCAATCTTTTTGAAAGATCACAAAGCCCATGTAAATCAGAGAACCTTTTATCGATATCACGGACATCAATAATGTAATTTGCTAGTTGATTCTCAAGTGGACACATGCTAGGTTCATCAAAGTCATCATGATATAATTCAGCCATTCTCATTATTTTCTGGATATTAAAACTTGAAAATAAGTCTATCGGATTCAAACAAGCAACTCCATAAAGCAACTCGGTTGTTACCTCATCAAAATGATCATTGAGTTCTTGCAATTGCCAATCAATTATTTTACAAAATACTTCAACACGATAATGATGAAAAATGTATAATCAGCAGATTTACGCCGTGATCTTTCAGAATTAACATACGACTCATCAAAATTAGACACCACAATATTATACTTGATACAAAATGCAGAAACCTCAACAACAAATAAATCCCATGTTTTGGCCACTTTAACAAGTAGCATGACATTTGCAATGTCTTGCTCCTTTTTTTGTAAACATGTACTAAGATCATTAGTAATTTCTAAAACTTCTTTCATCAAATGCAACATGAATGCAACCTCATAAGTTTGAGCAATTTTGATATATCCTATTGCCCTGGATCTTTCATCCATAGAATGTGCAGTTTCAACAATATTATCAAGAATGTCCATAATTGTACCAAACTTGAGAATAAAACAATTAAAAGATTTGAAGTGAGATCCCTAACGAGTATCGCAAGCTCTAGAAATACCAACTTCTTTATGCAAGCCTCTACCCGTTTTAAGCTCATCCATATCAAAAGCTTCTTGAGTTTTTTTTTTTTGAGATTCTCGATAATCATCCATACGTTTATAAGAAGCTGCCAAAACATTAAAAATATTTGAAACCAAATGAACAAGTTCTCCAACTTGAAGACATCTTTTAGAAACACCAGCAAGAGTTAATTGAAGTTGATGAGCAAAACAATGTCTGGAATAAGCCGATGTACTTTCTTTCTTAATCAACATCTTAAGGCCATTGATATCACCTTGCATATTATTTGCCCTATCAAAGCATTGTCCACACACATAAGATAGACTCAAGGAATGTTGAGAAAGTAAATTGACAATTGCTTCTTTTAGAAATAAAGCACTAGTATTTTTAACATGAACAATGTCAAGAAGTCTCTCCATCACAAATCTTCTTCTATCAACATATCGTAAAATAACCGTCATTTGCTCCTTGCGTGAAACATCAAAAGATTCATCAACCAATAAGGAAAAATAATCACCATTTAGTTCCTTTATGATGCCCTTAATTGTTTCAATCTTGCAAGCAATTACAATATCTTTTTGAATTTTTGGACAAGTCATTTGGTCATTTTGAGGAGCATTTTCCAATACAAACTTGCGAACATCATCATACTTTTGAGCATAAAATGAAAGAATCTCAAGAAAATTTCTGTTAAGTGATAATTTAGATTCATCATGACCTCGAAATGCCAAGCCTTGTTTCACAAGAAGTCTTACTACGTCAATTGAAGCTACTAAGAGGATCTGATACCCGTGCTTATCTTGATTAAATTGTTTCTCAAATGAAGCATGTATGGATTGTTGTTGTCGCATTAGATCTTCACATTTCTTTTTGACTGATTGTGAATGCTAGTATGCCCACCAACATGTGTTTGCAAACTAGCTTTTTTATGTCAGCTTTTAAACCACACACTCGAAAATGTTTCACCTCCGCGTTGAAGATTGTTATTTTGCTTGAATAAATAACAATACAAACAAATGGCTGCATCTTTACTTATACTATACTCTAACCAATCAGGAAATTCATCAAACTATTTATGATTAAAATAACGCACATCTCCAAAAATGTTTGTTTGTGGAAACTCTCTTAATAGAGGTTGACAAGGTTTTTTTTTGGAGATAAGCTCTTCTAACAGCGTCACAGTAATTTAGATGAAATTCCAAGATTTGAGTTATTTCACCTGGATCAGCCTTTAAAGAACTTAAATCAAATTCTTCCCCGTTAGGTTGATTCTGAACAATAGAACTTGAATTTGATACTTTAAAAAAGTACTTTTCCATTGACTATGAATCTATACAAAATAGTTAATTTTTAAATGCATTAAAGATAACTTTTTGTAAATTACATTAGATATTACCATCAAAATTCAAATGGTTCATCAATCTAGTTACGACTATCAAAGAAAGAATAGAAAAAAACAGTCAAAAAAATTCACAATTTAAAATGAAGATAGTCAATATTCAATCAAGAAAGATGAACTTTTCAAGAAAATTGAGAGAAAAGCTTACCTTGGAGAAAAGACAAACAATCAACCCTTTTAATTTTAGCTTTGAGCCTCCACTTTAGATAATCAGAGATACTACAAGTCTACAACCTTAAAAAATAAAGTCCCATTTAATTTCTTGAAAATTGAAAGAAAATAAGAAGAAGAGAAAATGGCTTTCACCTTTTAAGCAATAAGCATGAGTTTTGATTTTTCATTTCGAATTGAATGTGAGATTCAAGCATGAAGTATCAAGTATGAAACAATAAACAATAGAATATTATGGGAGATGATTTAAATATTTGAGTTTTGAGTTGGGGAAGAACAAAAAAGTGATTTAGGGATTTGAAAAGTGAAAAAGTTATTAGCTTTTAGGAATGGGAGAATGGGAGTTCGGACCCTTGAATTTTTTGGGTTTAACACCACATTTTATTATTAAAAAAACATTAAAATCGAATCTGGAACAAAAAAAAAAAACTGAAAGTAAAAAACTAAAAAATAAAATGCTAACCCAGGGATTCGATCCCTGGACGTCAGGCTTAACTTTGAAAGGAGCTGCCACTGGGCTATCTCATTTACCTTGTCCTTGAGGGGGTTCAAAATATATATATCCACATAAATCCAAAAAATTCACCTTATATATACAGTGTAATTTTTTTTGAGGGGGTTCTGATGAACCCCCTGGACAACACGTGGGTCCGCCCATGAGGTCGTGGACCTTGGACTTGATATTTGACGATTTTACTAGTGGACTTAATACGCCTTGAGTATTAAACCGTCTTAGGATAATGCTTAGATTTGGATTTGGTTTCGCTTTACTCTAAGTTGACTAGAATTGGTTTAGAAATGACGGTTACCCGAGTCGGACAAACAACAGGGTGAAGTCTAATAAATGACGTTGGATGACCACAAATCAACTATTTGTTTATCATTTTCAAAGAGTTCAACTTGTGTTTTTTTTAAGGACATCTGTGGTAAGTCACGTAACCGCTTTTTTTCCTAATGCAATCTATTTGCCGTTTGGCGGAATCAGGTGTCAAGAATGCCACAATTCAATATATACGATAAATAAAATAAGTCAACAGTAAAAACACATAGCCAAATAAATTAATCTTAAGGTTAGAATCATTCAAATCCCCAGCATAGTCATCATTCTGTTTTATTAAGAAAATATTATTTAGATTGGTTTTAAGAGTTGTCACTTAATTTTTAAAGGGTAATTAAGAAAACTGATTATTTCAATAGATTAAAAACAGAAAATCTAATGAAAATAATTAAGGGGGTTCGAGGTTCATATTAGCATTTCGGAAAGGGTTTGAAAGCACTCGAAATACTCGCTAACATGCAATTAACCGGTAATTAATTATTTGGCTAAAATAATTTAACTTAACTTGAATTGCAAAATTTATAGTTAAAACCGTTTTAAAAGGAAAAAAAGGGGGAAATACGAAAATGCTATCAAAGTGAGATAATTTGCAACATTTATTCTTTAGGTTTTGTTAAACGATGACTGATTTAGTGAAGTTGTTAAATCAAAATGGGCGTATTTCGAGGATTTAAATTTTTCGACTTTAATTTTAGCGGTAAATATTAGCAAGCACACAAATACAATAAAATAGAGAGGGAAAAAGACTCAAGTTTTGTTTTTTCTGTCCGCCTGGACCAACACTTGGGCCTAATTTCATTTTGGGCATTTTCGCCACATGTCCTAAATTCTAACAGTATAGTAGCAAATAACTGGGCTTACGCCCAAAAGTAACAAAATACAATGTTTTGAAATAAAGGGTGGGCCTTTGGCCCAAAATTTTAACTCTCCAATTCATTGCATATCTTGACGTCTGGACCTGTTCGTCGATTTTAATGGCTGATTGATTCAAAAATGGAAATTGAGTCTTTATGGCTCTCCCGAAATGCGAGGGTGAGAGGTGAGTTCATGGTGAACTCGGACAGATTTCACATGCAACAATAAAACAAGTAAACTTATGAGTAACAACCCACATGATTTAATATAAAAAAAAATAAAGGATAGTAAAAATCACCACTGCCTAAGTGTCACAATGAAAAAAAAAATTAATTAGGATCAGAATCAAGTGAGTAAGCATAGAGAAAATAAATGTTCACATATATATATATATATATATATATATATATATATATATATATATATTTATATCCCATAGATAGTGGCAAACATACAACCATATATTAAAATGAACTAATTCAAAATTAATTTTACGATAAATTCATTTAAATAACAAAAACCGACGGATAAATTTAACCAAAATAAAAGACAAGGAGCACAAGGTGGGTGAATGAATCTAAAAAAAAAATAAACTAGTAATATACATATTGATAAAAGGAAAGACAAGAGAGTAAGAAAAAAGAGAATAGAACCCCTAGCAACTCACTTCACTATTTACTTAATGACTCAAAACCAAGTTGATCAAATTTCACAATTTTCCAACTTAACAGGAACAATGATTTTCAAGTATTCGGCAAACAAACGGGAACGGGGATGGGAGAAAAGTCACAATGACCACAACTAGAACTCAACCTAAGCGAGTATGAAATGATCCAAAATGTTCTACATTGATTATAATTAAACAAACTTATACGAGATAAGGAAATAAGGATGAAATTTAGCCATCAAATCGGGTTATCAATATTTAGGGCTAGAATACCTAACTAAAAGTGAATCTTTGTGATCAAATGACAAACTGTAAGAAAGGGACTGAAAACAACAACAGTTTGACCACTTTCCATGTTAAAATTAAGTTAAAGTACGCCACTTATGTTAACCACAATATTGCAAACAGGCCGATGCAAGGAAACATGGATCGCAACAACATTTTAATCATGAAAGATTTTGGAAATTGATAAGATCAAGATGTAAGAAACCCTTCTGAACAAATGAGTTCAACATGTTTAAGACTTATACTACCTACAATCAAGTATCCCTATAATCTGAAGCATAAACAAATCAGCAGAGGGAAATATGTTTTAAGCATAAACGAGATAAGAACGAGAGGTGCTTAATTGCATAAACGAGAAACCACATTCCCCAAACTTAAAATAAAAGCACTTTCAAACTTACAACGAGTACTTAAATATACAAATCACAAGACGCAACACCAAAGGGAGGAACCAAGTTCTTAATCATAGGTACTCTAGACATAAATCATATACCCAAACACGTATTGTGCCTCAGTTAACCAGAACACTGACTCAAACCCGAACGACCAAGCATTAAACACCAAAATAACTAAGAACAGAGGCATTCGAGCCAAAAAAAAAGACAAAGAATCTGCAGAAAGTTCAGTTCATGAAAACGGAACATCCAATACGAGTTAATGATCAAAAATGAGTTTACCTTTCCGGAGGCAGCGAACTGAAGAC